ATTTAAAGGCAAAATATATTTTGAGTTTTGAAATCTTTATATTAACATTGATTTTTCTACTTCAGCATTAAAAAGGATTTTGGACCTGGAAAGTAACATATATTCTAGCTTCTTGAGTGCAAATTATTTATTTCCGGGATATAAGGAGTTACTCCTGCTGCTTCTGCCCACGGCTTTGGGACTTCACGGAAATGCTCGGACGCGCCGAGTCGGAAAGTAGAACAGTTGCGGTAGACACGCAAGGTCAAGACAAAGATCAGCGCCCTGTCACTTTACATGAATAACTGAGGCAAATAAATCGCTTTCATGTTCAATGTAAATTATTCAGTTGCATCATCGCATGTTGTAATAAAATCCGAAAATCCAATACTTCAATTTTCAATTTCCATGTTCAGTTACCATGATTTACATCAATTTTTTTAAATTCTGGTGACAAATTTTATGTTGATTTTTCCTTAGATTCAGAATAATAGTAGATACCCACATGTTTTGAAGATTTTTTTAAAATAACTATCATATTTCTTCTCACCCAAAATTTTTTTTGAATTAAATTAAATGAGCCAGTCGTCTTTCGTCACTTAAATTTTGATTCCATTACTTTTATGTACAAAGTTACGCAGTTTAAAGCTGCGTTTTAATGTGTTTTGAGACATCAACATAACTCACTTCAAAATTAATTGGAATAAAATCTCATATTTTAATAGTATTCCGGGTGAGTCTTCCTATACATTTATATTCTTTGAAAGGAACGTTTTATTTCCTTTGGTTTTAATTAAAGGTTGTATTGCTGGTAAATGCAGATGATCAAATGTAAGATTTTTATGTAAATTTTCAGTCAATACTATTATCTATAAACAGTGTTGTTAAAAATGTTTAAGAGAAATAAATAAGAGCAGGACAAATATAGGAAACAATATACAACATGAGAGACAAAATACTATATGTTTTAGGTATATAACTTTTTACAGAAGCAAGGACGTGGTTGGCGAAGGATGAGAGAAAGTGGTTGAATGTCAGTCGAATAAAATCATTTTAGAGGAAATAAGATAATTTAGAATTGTCGGTAGAACTGCAAAGACGTAAATGATAGTCACACCCAAATGCAAGCAGCGTTATGCTCTATGATTGGTATACACCATAGCGTCTGCGAGTCAGTCCGCGAGGACCAATCAGCGGATGGTTCCCAGTCGCTTCTGGAGCAGTTTATTGCCACAGTCGTTTGGAAGGTGAGCGGCGCAGCGTAACCGTAAGAGATCGTAAAGGCTAAACGCGCGACAGCCTACGTTACAGCCAGTCATGTCCCCGGGATAATGCTTCTGGCTGCAGCACACAAGAGAGGTTTTAGATTGTCATATAGCTTGACTGTCATTTACATCGACGAAGCGTTGCCAGATTAAACCCACCTGCTGCACAATTCATGTTCCATCTGCTTCTAATAAATAATATAAATTTATTGATGCCTTTATACCTTTTCCTATTAATAATATTATTCAATCATATATAAAACAGAAATATACTTTTCGAAAATGAACTTCTTTTAAAAATTGTGTAACACGAAAACACCTTCTATACCCAACGACCAGAGGCTGAATTTCAGGGGGAGATAAATGAGACGTTTTTCGAATATGAATTTCGTTTTGAGATGCCGTTTGCCCAAAATTAATGAGAATACTATTTTTATTTTTGGTGCGTTTAATATACAGCAATTTTTTAATAAATTTAGTAACAAATGGTGTGATACTTGGGACGCGGCTATTTTTCTAAATTAAAAAATATAATGATACAACTAACAAAAAACTGAAGTGTTTTAGAATGTCATTAATAATAGCGTAACCATTCTGAATATTATTTATTGTAAATCAACAACATTGTCAATCCAAATATTTCCGCACCTTAAAAGCGAGATAAACACTTGAAAATATTGTTTTATATCAAAATGTAGCCATGACTTGTCCATTTCGGGTTTGACATTACGCCTCAATATTTATACATTCAGTAATTTATTTGTTGCTTATGACTACTTTTCATTGAAGTATGGAAGTGGATAGGAGTTGTGTGTGATGACCCGATGATCACCTTCCCTAGGGACTTCTAAGAAACAATTATTGACTCATTGGAAAATGTAAGAAGTTATTTCAAGATGTTTTCTATGGATTAGCTTATTGTGTTCGGTGGTAGTGATCGAAATGATAAAATGTAATATTCTCATTCTGAGACAGCATTAATCACATTTCGATGGACTTTTTATATTTTTTTTTCAAATTAGTTGAGAATATTTACTTATTCGTCAGTGTATTATATTGATATTTGTCTATTACCAATATTAAGGTTTTACTTGATTTCATTACGTTAATTCATTTATTTTGTTACTCCTATTTTATTCATTATATGTAAATACATTTTGTACTTCATTTATTGCGTAGGTCAGTTGAATCTGAAAATATTTAGAGATAAAACTGTAACTCTTCTAATTTCAGAATGTGTTTTTATTGAAACATACAACTTACTCTATCGGCTCTCTCCACAAATCAGGTAATTCCTTGATCTGCGACTTACCTGCAAAGAACGAAAAAAACACACATGTTAGTAGAAGAAAACGAGAAGAGAAAATTTAAGTTTTTATAATCGTATATCACTGTATAATATTCAATTTTCAGTTCTAACGATGTAAGATCAGTTCAAAAGATTACATTAGATCTACTCGAAACTAAATTTTAATTAAAATATTTTAAATGTCTTAATCATACTGGATCACATAATTTCTAGAAAACTGTAAAATATAGAAATTCAGTGACTGTTTACCATTAAATATATTTATAGTACTAAATTAATCATGTATTTTCTCGCGCAGTTTCAATCAAATCATCGAATTTGTTATAATAGATTAAATTAGTCTTAACGATAATCCTCCCCAATTTCTTAAAAAGAAAAAAAGCAATTTACTAATTATGACCCAATTAGAAGTGAAAACCAGATGAAAAACCTAAAATTAAAATTGTCTTGTACATTCTCGTATTTTACTTACCTAGTGAAGAGAGAATATTGTAATGTTGCGACGTTAAGTCTTGTCTTGGGGACGGCAGGTCTTGAAATGTAAAAAGTGGATAAATCATGTACCTAACTATACTAAATTACTTTCTCTATCACTTCGAGAAGCCATAATGCTCGATTTTTTTGTATTCTGCTCATGGAACTTGCAGCCACATGGTTAAGTACCACTTCATCGATTTAGGTTTCAATTACTTTACATTCAGTTATTCATATCTCGCCACCAGTCAGTTGTATCTCCAGGCAAACACTAGTTTATTCTACCAGAAAATTGGTAGGATGTCAAAATGATTACGGTCTTCAAAAAGATTTTAAGAATATGTTACATAAAAATTATGTGAAGTTAATCACAGAAAACTAGTCTTATTTTCTAGCCTTAAGAGAAATCCTAATATTAATCCCCTCCATTCATCTTCTATCTTTTGATCCGTAGCGTGGTTAAAATGACTTAGCTCTTTTAAGGGAATGGGAGTATTATTGGACTAGTATCGTTTCTTTTTATTGTTATTGTACACTACTTATTTTTAATTCTGACATTTTTCTTCTAACATGCTATTTGCTAGCTTGCTAGAACAAAGACTCTTTGATTCCAAAATTCTGCCACCACCCCCTTTTTATATGTGATTTCCCAACATAGCCAATGACGTCATATGTTGCATGCTAGGAGGGAATTCTCGTGACTGTCTGACTCAGGAAGCACAGCCATCAAGCCCTTTCCCAACAAGAGACCACAAGATAGGGCAGCTCTGACCCATGCTCTTTAGAAGACGCTTGCCCTCTAGATGGTGGATTACAACGTGTGTATTCGCCCAAAGCTCTTTGGTAAATAGACTGGTGAAATATCTGTCTTTAATCGGATACAATCTCTGCAAGACAATTGTGTCTCTCCCCAACAGAATTCGTTTGCATTTCCTCCAATTACTTCTTAAATGCTATGAAATCATGCAATGTAGCAATTTGCGTTTGAAAACGAGTCACGATGTTTTGGAATATTTTAAGCTGATCTGAAGACATAGAAATGGATAGTAGTGAATGGTAAAGGAAATTCTTGTACTTCGCGATCGCATTGGCGCAATAAAAGTGACATTTGAATCAGAGATGCTTCAAAACCAACTTTCATTCAAAATTTGCTATTCATGTGTTGTGTTATAAAACATAAATTTTAAATTGTTTGCATGCAACGAAATTGTTCACATGTAAAGTATTGTGTATATAAACGATGTCATTATTCGTATATAGCTGAGCAGTATTGTACATGTTTTTGTTAAAATATTTAATAAATTGCAGTTTTATAAGAGAATTTCATTTAAGCAGTGGGCGAGCTATGTTTTCAATAACCATTTTGTGTGGTGTTTTTTAGCAGTATATATGCTACTGCCAACAAATAATGCCTACATATTCTATCATGTATGTTCAGGAAGTTAAAAATGGATCAGATTCAGTATGCTTTGTATTTTATACAAGTATTTAGGAAGGCAACTAGTGATCTTATCAGTACATTTAAAGCACTTTACAATGTTTTTGAAACAGGTTGACCTATATCAAAGTTTTGTATACTGCTGACAATAGATTGGATTGCTCGAATCGTTTTATTTAGGTTAAAATATTTTCTCATAATTTAGATTAATATTTTGTTACTTGCATTATAGTACAATAATGTGGGCACGTGTTTCTACGGAAATTATAATTTTTCAATTAAAATTAAGTAGACTGGGAACATAGGATGGAATATTGTGTTACTGAAATAGCGTGTAGGAAATAACTTTCAAATGATACTCGTCACGTATCAACAATACATTACTACATGATGTCGTTACGACATCAATCGTTAAATTTCTAACAAACCAGCTTTTTATTTTTATCAATGTTATTCAAATATGTATTTCATAACCCCTTACTGTTGTAATGAATCAAAATAACAATTTCATAATTTTAAAGTTTATTTTTTTCAGTTTAAGTAGGAATATATCCGCTGGTTTGTTAGTGATAGAGTAATTGATGGCTCAGGCTTAGCGACAACACGCATGTGCGACATCAAGAGCCTTATCTCTTACCGGAAAGTCTACCGCATTGAAAGTTCAGAACACACATAAACCACAGTCCCAGGCAGACGTATCTGCAATCCCGATAGTGCTTCTAGTTCTCGTAACTCTTCCAGGTTGGCAGTGATGTCCGCGCATAAATATTACTTTGTGAGAAATCTCGCCCCTAGGTCGTTCGGAATACTGGAGACTCTGAGGCAAACTTCACTAGAAGAATGTGAACGAAGGAGGAATTATAAATAGTGTATTATGCTGCTGTGGGCATGATTTGGAAAATGTTTGTTCTGAAAGATTAATATTAACATGTGTCCCAGGAGGAAACGTCAATATCTTGGAATGTCGCAATATCAATTATGTAATACTAGGTGGAAAAAAACATTTCTCGTAATTTCGATTGCACAGAAAAGTGAAATTTGAATCAGACACGCAGGGCATGAATCAAAGTGAACTGAAGTATGTATAAAAACAATGTTGACTGTTACACTGCAACAATATTTAATGAGGACGTTTTCAGTACAGATAATTTTTGGTCTCAACTGTAAGCAGCAGTTACTTTTTGAAGAAACAAAATGAAATGATAACACTAAAAATATCTTTTAACAATAGCTTAAACTTTCACCATACGCGTAATTGACACTCTTATAAAAAGGCGCATGCAGAATTGAATGTTACACCTTCGAAATGTATATTTTTATTTTTCCCGCCGATAAACGTTTGTAGACGATGTGACCTCCTCTTCCACCTCAACCTCATTTCCGTATCATCTGCAAGTGTTTCTCCGTTTTTGCCATCAGAAAGTATCAAAATATTGTAATGATTTCCTTCACTTTGCTTAAATGCGTTAGAGTGAGGTCTAGAATATTCTGTAGTTTAATTCGAGCCAAAGTATGAGTCACTTCAACACCCGATGTATCCTGATAACATTGAAATTTTGATTCCAGGATTTTGTAATGGGAAGGATAGAGTAAAATTTTTCTCTCGTATGCCGCTGGCGGAGACGCGCCCAATTGTTGAAAAACATGTTTTTTTAGTCATATATTATTATCATCGACGTTTTAATTTTGAACATCGATGTTCGTTTTGTTGTCGGCGTCGCCTCCCTTCACTAGAGTAGGTCGTGAGTAAGTCAGTAGTGCGTTGGGAAAGCCTCAGGATCCAGGCGTGAAGAGTGCGGGTGTTCAGTGGCAAAGAGGAGCAGCTGGTGACGGCGGGGGCGTGGCGGGGAGAGAGCGGGAGTTGCGCTAGTGGCGGCAGCGGCGGCGTGGGTGTGCGGGCCAGCGCACAAATATTGACCCCGAGCTCCTATCGACGCGCGGCGGGGACGGCGGGGGTGGAGGGGGCGGCGAGGGCGGCGGGAGCGACCGAGCCAACGGAGCAGCGCACAGTGCCAAATTTCCTGCAACCGCTCGGAGAAAAAGTGAATGATTATTGTGTGTTCCCGGACGCAAGGATTGCTGTGGCTGTTTGTCCCGTACGTGTAGCGACTGATATAACGCGGTAGGTGGTTTTGTTACTTTCTTGTTAGTACGTGAGTTTTGGCCCAGACCTACCGTTGGTAGCTGGTCCAGCTGGTTCGCTACCAGCTGGTCTGCTGGTAGGGATTCCTTGTCAGGTGGGATTTCCATCACTAGGTATCTCTCACCAGTAGGAAACCGCCCCAACCGGGACCCGGTCTAAGCTTACGACTGATCTCCCGACATATGTGGAGACTAGTGCGTGGAAATATGTGTGTGTATGTGTGTGTGTGGGGGGGGTGAGTGGGTGTGGGTGCGTGCCTGCGGACGCGCAGTCCGTGGACTGTTTGTTAGGGTACTGCTCTGACATTCGCTTAGTACTGCTAGAAGATACCATGGAAAACTACCGCTCAAAGAATCCGGTCTCTAGAATTCTCTCGCATTTTCTCCCTGTCTGGGACCAGAAAATAACCTGGAGATTATGGGAAGATTTGAATCAGAACATACGAGAAAAAGGACCTTATATCCTATTCAACAAATATGACTAAGTAGGAGCTGTGTTTCTTCATTCAATTAATACGGTAATTTGCTCAGAATCATTTTCGCACTCGCGTTCTCTGCCTTCCCCCCGGATCGCCCAATTCACCACCGAGCTTAACTTTTCCCTTCATGACTAACTTCTGTTCGAAGCTTTTATACCTCGGCATCTCTCTCGAACGAAAATATAGTATTTTCAAGAAGGGTATCAATTTTAAAAGTCGATCTCTTGACATTTAACTGCTATATTAGCCAACTCAAAATTTTCTGTTCTTAAAAATTGCAATTCAAAGTGAATCTAATAATTTCGAGATGGGAATGGAACTTGATAAGTGATTATCGAGTTAAACATTTTGCCACTTATTGACTCATTTTTGCTTTATGCAATAAAAATTATTTGTGACGTATGTAACAAAAAATCAATATCTACCTTAACCATAAAATTCACTTTTTTAGTTTCACGAACGCCATCACCAATCAACGTAACGCATGAAAATACAAACGTCAATCGAAGGAAAAGTATTTTTGCCCGTGAAGTCGGGAGAACCCTGACACTGCGTCCACTCTGACGTGGGCGGAGGCAGAAAAGGGGTAACACGGGTCGCGCTAGCAAAGCGAGAGAGCTGAAGAGAGGAAGCAACGCAGACGGGTGGAAGAGTGGAAATTTATTGTGCGAAAGATCAATGGAAAAAAGAGCAAATAACTTTTGTTTGTGTTTTGCAGACAGTTGATGAACAGAGGATGCGCGTGACGCTGCATTGAAACAAAATATAGATATATCTAAAAGTATAATACTGTTCCATATTTATTTGTGGCTTCTAGCGTGTAAAACGAAATATGAAAACCAAACGACTGCAAGTGATGTTTACTTAAAATATCGTTTTATTTTTAATCAGGGAGTAAGGATAATATTTGGGCAAATGAATGAAGTATGAGGACAATAATCTTTAAGTAAATGGTTATATTGTAAGCTTGTATTTTATATTCTACATTGTGTTGTATGAAAGTAATGTATATAATGCATCAATGTTCAGTCAGTAACTGATACCTTGACTGCGAAATCTAAAGTTTTGCTCACAGGTATACTATTGATGTGTTCATGAGATAAACTTAACAATAAAAACGTTCGGTATGTTACTGATATCCTTTTTTTTTATTCTAACATGTCATTTTGTTATTGCTGTCAGTTCATCATCGAAAAGTATCTTCCACTCTACTTGATCGATCATACACTGATTTTTGTCGCATAACTCGAATAAAAATATAATGGATTACAAAATATTTAAAATTCACCATCAAAATGTAGAAGTAAGTTCATTTTTTACTTTTGAAGTAATTCCTTGATGGATAAGAGCCATCTAAACTACAACAAATTCTAAAAATGAAAGTATCCGACTTATAAAGCGAAAGTAACATCTGGAAAACTGGAATAGTAGTAATAAATATTTTTTTAATAATAAAAATAGTGTGTACAGTTTTGGAGATGCGTAGTTATTAAGACTTTCTATTTATACGATTGATTAAGTGGTCATACATTTTAAAACGGTATTGATATATTTTATAGTATATCTGGAACGATGAACTGGAATTTTAGAACTGAGTGTAAATTATTGAAGTATCTTTGCTTGCGCTTTAATGATTCAATAAGCAAAGAGAAAACTATATACGACAAACTAGAGTGTACGAATGATCGAAATATATGTATCGTCGTCCGACTATCGTGTCATAGCATCATCTCAAGACTCTCTGAAGTAAGTAAAAGGTAGATTCTTTCTACCGATCAACAGAATAGGAAAAAGAAGAAAATAATATATTTTTTACACCAACTTAACCGATGTATGAAAAGTTTACAGTTCTAAATAATTAAGTTGATTCACGGTATAGTTTTTAATAGCTTTTTTTGTAGATGTTCAGGTGCTGAAACAATTGTTTTTGAATTTACAGAAGTATACCTCTTTCAATCCAAAATCAATTCGTTTTAATTTATTAATATAAATTGTAATTAGTAGGCATTAGATAACACGTAGGATAATATTTAAACACCAATAATTCAAACTGCAATTAAAGTATTATCTAAATTAAATCTAATTATAATAATAAAATGATGGAAGTTATTATATGCTTACGTTTACCATCTATTAAAATATTTATATCACGTTTTCATCATGTTTTTCATTAATGACCATTCATTAGTGAAAAACTGTCTGTTCCCAGTTTCCCGCAATAATTATCAAAAATTCCAGGAGCTATCTTCATACATTATGAATTTCTTTGTTGGTTGGTTTCACACTCCTTGTTAATAAATTTTCAATTATAGGAAGGGATGTAAGTGCAACTATATCCCTTTGGTGTTAAAAGTATAGCGTTTGGTTCATGGAGCATCAAAATACGTCGATTGATTTAAAAGGAATAAGAATACGTATAATCTCCGTGGTGAAAAACATAACCCTACTTTCTTTCGACCAGGCGGCTAGGAAGTTCGTGGTGAGCGTGAATTTATGTTCGCGGACACAACAATTCTCAGTTCCCAGAAAAAAAAGCATTGCGCGCACGGAAAAAAGTAGTCACGCTGAGAAACGTACCCAAGATTCCGCGCAGATTCGCACGCCACTTTTGGAGGAACGAGGAGTAACTGGCGTCCGTTGTAAACAGGGGCGCGCGTTTCCTTCTCCTCTATCACTCAGCCCACACAAACTCGTTAAGTCCTTTGGAGAAGAAATTCCGCTCACACATTTTCTTCTTTTTCGTAACGTAAACTTTGCATTCTGCAAATGGCACTACCCATTTACAGACTCCCAAATTCCGCGAGTCGAAAATAGATTCAGTTGCTGGGGGAAAAAATTGTGTTATTTCATTGAGGTGCAATAAACTTGTATTATATAAGTATTATTGTTGCTGTAACGTCTCCCCAAAAGTGGAAGATTCATT